CAGACAATTGAGAAAGATGGAATTCTCCCCAAATCATTTTACGAAGCTAACTTCACCATGATACTCGAAACAGCAAAAGATCCAACAAAAAAAGAGAACGACAGCGCAATAAAAGTGACCCCCCCCGCCCCTACCCCCCCCCTCGACTCAGGAGCTGGGCAGGGCTCTCATCCTTTCTTCGTGAAAAGCGATTGGAAACGGACCCCTGCGCCCACTGTGCCCGCAAACCGTGTTTCCCGCTAGGCCGCGCCCTCTCCGGGAACGCTGCTTGTCGTCATGGAAACCCAGGACCCCGCGCCTTAGCAGCCCTCAATGGGGGCCGCCCTCGGCGGTGCCGGCGGAGGAGCGAGACAACGAAGACTTAACTCCGCAATTTCTCGGAGTTTCTTGTGTTTTAAGTCACAGCAGAGCTCCAGTAGCGATAGGAAAGAAAAGAGTTTAATCGGGCCGTTGACACGGAATCCGGAAGTGCCTGGATCCCGGGGCTTCCGGCTGCGGCCGGCCAGTGCGCAGGCGCCGGGGAGCCTGGGGCTCGCGCAAGGGACGACCTGTGGGTCTCTGGCGCCGCGGGTCGTGGGCAAGGGTCCTGTGCGAGTTGTTTCCATCTCTCTGTCCCTCCCTCTTTTTGTTGCTCTGCGTATTTTTCTAAAGACCAAGATCAGGGGAAATTTGGGTAATCAAAAAACTCTGTGTTCCCTTACTGCGTCAGCAGTAAGAAATGTCCTTGACATTTCGATCACGTCTTCTTTGGACCCTTTAAAGGCCATCCCCCAGAACACAAAGAAGGCTTTCCAAGGTCCAGATTTTTCTTTCTTTCTTTCTCTTTTTTTTTTTGCTAGAGAGGTAGGAAAGGAGAGTTGCACGTTTGGCGGCACCAACTCGGGTAAAATCGTTGGGTCTTCTTGCGTAAAAACCTGCCCTCAGGAAAGAACGTGCTCAGCTCTTTGGAACCTGAGGCCCCGCTCCTGCTACCAGGGATCATTTCGTTTTAAGGCGGAGTTTGAGTGTCAAATAAAGGCGGTGGAATCCCAGTGTTTAGATACCATCACTCCAGAAAATAATTCTCAGAAGAAAACTCTCTTATTAAAACTCTCTTATTCAATCGTCATATTCCTTAGTGCCAAGTACAGTGCCTGGACAAGTGTAAAAATCAGTTGGATGGTTGTTTTGTGTTGACAGAATTAAGGCTTTGGCTTCTGGTTTCCAGAGTGATAGCAATATGGGCAAAGGGTTCAAAACCAAACCAGAATCTCCATGGTCTCTTTGAACTCTTCTAGTCAAACATTTTGGGTGTCAGCAGTTTAGGGCTATTTCCCCTGTGACCCTAATTTTTTTTCAGAATTGAAATACACATATAGCATTTTTAGAAATTTTACTTTATTATTAATAAAGACGTGGGGCACAAATCAGGATTAGGTACATAAGCAATGTGCGTGCAGGTGAAGTCTGGGCCTCCAACTGGTCCTCACTTCCCACATACAGCATAGAGCACACACATACGTAGTTCGTTTTAAGGACTGGGAGCCATCAAAACAAATGATGGGCAGAAGCAAGACGATGCACAAGTAGATGGAAGGCAATTTCCTCCAAAGTTTGTTGCTTCTCCCCTTTCACTGATGTCACGTTATAATCTGGAACCATAACCATGGTGCTTCAGAGGTCCCTGAACTCACGGTTTAGCAAGTCTATAGGTACTGGAGAACAAAGTAACCCATCTTTTGTATTCCCAACCTAGTCCAAAACTAAGTAGGGTATTAATAGAGCAAATAGAAATAAGTGAACACATTCTGGAGATGAAAAATAAAATCTGTAGGATTTGGGAAGTGCCCTGTGGTGTGAAGACAAAGACATCAAAGGTTACTGTTCATTTTCTATCCTGTGCAATGGTATAGTGATAATACATACTACTTACCGAGACTGAGAACAAAGCAGAAAGGCCAGGAGGGAGGAGGGCTTTGGAGAAGGTTCAGTTTAGGACTTGCAGACATACTGAGTTTGTAGTACCATTGAGACATCTGGTTGGAAATGCGAGGTCGTTATTTGATGATATATGTGGGTCTGAAGCTCTCAGCAAAGGTCATGGTTAAAGTTGAATAGATGAGACAAAAACATTACAATAAGCCCATCACTACTGAAAAATACAAGAGATACTCTTAGGAAGACATCTCTCCTAATTCTTAATTATACCAAGGGAACCCTAAGATGGAGTAAGGTAAAATACTATTGAGGTCTTTGATAGAAAATACCATAGCAGGAGGCCCAAACTTTACCTGTACGAAGACCATTTGTATACCTAATCCTGAATTGTACCCCACATCTTTAAAATTAAAAATAAATAAATAAATAATATAAAAATATAAAAATTTGTTAATTAATTAAAAAATAAATACCACAGCAAAATGTAGTATGACCAGGTAAGAGTTTTCCTAAAGTGTCACGACATAGTAAAAGTGACGGTCAAGCCGGACATGGTGGCTCACGCCTGTAATCCCAGCACTTTGGCAGAGGCAAGAGGATTGCCTGAGTCCAGGGGTCCAAGGCCAGCCTGAGCAACATGGCAAGACCTCATCTGTACAATAAATCAAGTTAGCCAGGCATGGTGGCGCACACCTATAGTTCTAGCTACTTGGAAGGCTGAAGCAGAATTGCTTGAGCCTAACAGATGGAGGCTGCAGTGGCCATGAGTGTGCCACTATACTCCAGCCCGGGTGACAGAGTGAGATCCTCATTCAAAAAAACACAAAAGGCTGGGCGCAGTGGCTCAGCCTGTAATCCCAGCACTTTGGGAGGCCAAGGCAAGAGGA